TTTTGCTTTGTTCCTGTTTCTTTTGCTATTTTTGCTTTTGCTACTTTTACTCATTATCTCTTTGCTTTCTTTTTTTTTGTTTTCTTATTTATCTTTTCTTTCTTTTCATTTTTTTTTCTTTTTTTTTTACTTTCTCCATTTCTTTCTTTTCATTTATTCTATTTTTTACTTTTTCCACTTCTTCCTTTTTGTTTATTCCATTTCTTCTATTTTACTTTTCTCTTTTCTTTCTCTGTTTTTCCTCCTTTTTCTTTTTTTGTTTTCATTTTTTTCATTTCGTTTTTTTTTGCTCTATTTTTCTTTTTTTTTTCTCTTTTCGCTTCCCTTTTTTTTTCTTCTCTTTTCTCTCTTCTTTTTTTTTATTTTTCTCTTTCTTTTCATTGGTTTCATTTCTTTTCATTTTTTCTATTCATTCTTTTTTATTTTTTCTATTTTTTTCTTTTTGTTACTTTTTCTACTTATCTTTTTCCTTTTCTTTGCCTTTTTTTTCATTTCTTATTTCTTTCTTTTGTTTTCTCTTTCCCTTCTTTTTTTTTCGTATTTCTTTCTTTTTATCATTGCAGGTGTTGTTATTGGTGCTACTGTTAGATTTTCTTATTGGTATTGTCATTGGTACTACCATTAGATTTTCTTCTTGCTGTGTGGTCTCGTATATTTTTCCGGTGGGAAGTCTTGCATGTTTTTTCGGTGGTAGTCTTGCATGTTTCTTCAGTGGTGGTTTTGTATATTTCTTCAGTGGTGGTCTTGCATGTTTTTTCGGTAGTGGTTCTGCACGTTTCTTTGCTAGTGGTATTGCATGTTTCTTCGATGGTAGTCTTGCACTTTTCTTCGGTAGTGAGTCTGCATATTTCTTCGGTAGTGGTTTTGTATATTTCTTTGGTTAGATATGGTGGGTTTATATTGTTTTTTTTTTTTTTTTCTATAGTTATTAACTTTTTATACTATGTTTGCTATCATTTGTGCTTGCATCGTCTGTTGGTGGCTTCGATTTGATGGTGTTGTTATTTTCTGGTATACTATTGTATCTTCACTTTCTTGGTTTTTTGCTGTTGCCTTGATGTTATTTAGTATTGTTGGAGTTTATGATTTTGCTATGGTTTTCGGTATATATTGGTACTTGTGAATTCGCTATGGCTTTTTTGTTGTTAGTGCTTGTGATTTTAGCTTGGCTT